TGCTGGCCAACTACAACCAAGTTTGAGTTTCAGAATCCCATATCCAGCAGCGCCCTCAGCGAAATTGTCAACGAGCCGACGATCCCAGCAGATGATCAGGTGTGTCGGGTACGCGTGCCCAGAAGCTGCGGCTTGACTATGTGGACGTTATGGACGATCTGCCCGAGGGCTGGACGTTTAGCAACACACTGCACATGATCGGACTCGGGATCGTGACGAGGGGCCCCAAGCCCAGAAAAGAAGATTGTGTACGATGCGGAGACACAGAAGCAGATGTTTGCCAAGCTGTGCGTTGCCTCTCCTGTCCGCCCTTGCGCGGGTCACCATGCTAATGATGGACTACATACAGCCCTGGACCGGAAGCCGCGCTCCTGCTGACGACATATGATTTCACGCACGTGAACAAACTCTTCTGCTTCAACCTCGTGACGCTCGCCGCAGAAAAGGGGCAAGAGCAGCCGTTTGCGAGCTACGTCTCCCTGACGTCGTACCTCCTGCAGCACGCACATCTATCGCAGCGCGTATCACACTACGCGACGCTCAACCTCATGGCATTCCGGCTGCTCGTCGAGGACCCCGTGCTCTGCAAGCGCATCTGCAGCGACGAGTCCAAGACGCCCGTGCGCCTATGCCGCCAGCGCTCGCCGTACCTCCCGCTGGTCAAGGGCGAGCGCGTCATGGCGACGGCCGTCCTCGACACCGTGGTCGACGGCATCTCGCACAACCTGCGGCGGCGCCTCGACGTGGGTCTCTACACGCTGCTCGTGGGCATCATGCTGCGCATCACGTCGTACCTGTCGCGGTCGCGCACGCGGCTGACGTACCACTGGGCCGACTTTTTCCGTGCGCTGCTGCACCTCGTGCGGTTCCTGACGACGTACGCCGCCGACCTCAAGGACCTGCCGCAGATTGAGCTGCTGCTGGACCACGTCGTCAACCTCGTCGCGCTGTCGCTGTCGACGGGCGAGGCGTTCCTGCCGTCACCGGCAGCGTACGACGACCTATTCTACAAGGTCGTCGAGGCGGGCGACGTGCTCGTCAAGTTCAAGGAGACGTACGGGCTCGGAAGCAGGGGTAGCAATTCGATCGGGACGCTCATCAGCGTCAGCGCGCACTACAAGGAGATGCTCAAGACGGGCGCTGGCAAGGACGCCAAGGCGAGGGGCGCCATTCTCACGAGCGTCGAGGTCGCTGATGTCATCAAGCAGGGATACGAGACGCTCAGCATACAGGCCAAAGAGGGGCTTGACACGTGGGAGAGGTATCGCGAGGCGGATGAGAGGACGTTGCTGAAGAAGGTGGCCAGGGTTGCTGTGGCTGATGGACGGGGCCTCGTCGGTGGTTCGAGGTGAGGGTCAGGGGGGGGGACACACAAGATGCAGTACAATATACTGCATGGCACAATGCAACAAGCTGCAACATATTGCGGGGCCTGTCTGGTGGTGGTGCTGTGAGATAGTGTGTCAAGAATGCTCGGAGCTCCGATGCCTGGCCGAGTCTCCAGACTTGAAGAATGGTCTTTGACAGGGCTCAACAAGGGTATAGGAGGACCACCGTCAGGGTTAGGGTTGCGATGTCGAAATGGCAGCCGAGGATGAGCCGACGACAGCCGACCCTCTGCGTTGCGTTGGAGGCTAGTAATGCACATGATCTGATTGGCGCGGTGCGACAGGGGCGGACAGGACCATGTCGTAGCCGTGCCACGGGGCGGGCCACGGGGGGGGGGGGGTCCCCCCCCGGTCTGCCACAAATCACCTGGGGAGAAATTCCCTGGTTTTGCTTTTGACAACCCAGTCCCCTTCCCCCACCTACCAGCCCAGCGAACTCGACGAACTTGTTTCCCGGCGGGAGACCGTCTTTTTCTCTTGGTAAGAGGAGGCTTTATTGGCATCGATTGATTGAAGACCGGCGAGCCTGAAGATCCCCAGTCGGAATGGACTAAGGGAAGCGTGGCATTATAAATAGGCAACTCGCCTCCTCCTTTTCGCCTCGTCTCTACCAACTACCCCCTAACTATACACCAACA